ATCTAAATCTTCCGTAATGGGTAAACAAATACCTCTCCGTTTTCTATGATGAATTGTAGAAAGATTATTTTCTAAAAGAGTAATATTCTCAATGCATTTACAGACAACATTAGATGTATCTTTACAATTATTACGAACTATTCTATTGCATTTAAGACATGAATTAATAGTTAATATATCTTTATCGTGAAGCGATAAGGTTTCCCTATCTTTTAATGAAGAATCAGGTGATTTTTCACATTTAGAAACCACGTGCTCAGTGGTTTTTATTTCATTTTCTATTTTATAAGCTTCATTAACAATACCTTCCTCTAAACAATCAGTATTCTGAACAATATTTGTTAACAAAAATTGCTTGTCAGCTGTTACTTCCTCAGAAATGGATCTTGTAGATACATTGGAAGATTGTGGTAATGAACCACAATAATATTGCTTAAAAGATCGAGAAGTATCTATACTATTAGTAGCAATAACATTTGAATTTTCACTACTAACTTTATCTAAATTTAAATTTCTTGTTGGATGAAATTTAGTATAGTATAATAACATACTTATAAGACCAATTAGCATACCTCCCACAATAAAAAATATCATTAATATAAATATATCAATTGTTATTGTTTGTTTAAAATTTAACATATAAATCACCAAAGAAGATAAATTTTCGATCACTATAATAAAATAAAATGCAAAAACCTTATAACGAGACTTTCCTTCGCATAAATTAAAAAAGTCAAAACAATAAATAAGTCCTATGATACAATTATAAATACGTTCTTCCCAAATAGTAGAACAAAAATCTGTGTTTTGAAGAATTACCCAAACAGTCATAGATAACCAATGCAAGCCTAGAAGAAAGAGATATTAATTACTTCTTGAAAATATAAATTTGATGATATGAATTTAGTAATAAATATTAAATTAATATAAACAAACTCACCAAGAAATAAGGAAAACCATTTTCTCAAACAAATTGCTATTAATACTAACACAGTTAGCCTTGATGTTAACATTCCACCCCTCCAAAGATATTGAAGCATCAGTGATATCCAAGATTCATTATTGTGATTGGGATTAATTTTATGCATGGCTTTTATATATGTTCCTATAGCCCAAATTAAAGAACAAAGAGAAGCCATAGTTGACATACCTATATAAATAATATTTAAACTCATTATAAATGCAATTGTAATATAAAAGTAACACATAATGAAATATTTAAAAACAATAAAAAATTCATGGTTGACCGAAGGATATATATATATATAATGATTACATATTTTGTTCTGTTATAGCTTCTGTAGTATCTTATTTTTAGCCTATTTAAATGATCACAGTGGTAGGAGTCTAAAGTATTTTTAAAACTGAAAAGTAAGCGTTCCATGCATAGATTTTATATGAATATAGCTGAGAACATTATAAAAGAATAGATAGCAAATTTTCAGAGATATATTCATTCAAGTATGTTATCTTTGGGGGCGGGACAAAGGAAATAAAGAAGGAAGACCCAAACATATTAGTTCAGTTAGTTAGCTATTACTTTTTAAGCTTGGCTTAACATATCAATATTACTGTCCTTCATAGTTCTTAAAAAATGAATAATTTAAATATTATATCAAGCTAAAATATCATATCGATATTATTTATTTTTTATTTTTATTTTTAATTATAAAATTATTCATACAGCGTAGCATAAAACAAATATGTGTTTGCATCTGTGTTACATTTTAACTGTGAAAATATACTAATTTCATAATAAATATTCAATAAAGATTTCGATACATAAGAACTTAATATGGTCAATTACACAGATAATAGAAACTTACGGTCAGGAGTTATTAAGTTTTTATGTTTTTACATAAAAAATAAAATAATATTATTGCAGGTAATATTATTTATAGTCATTAGTTTTTAAAGAAATAAACTAAAGAAACTAATGTCGAATTATTAACGTAATTCGTAATTAACACAAATAGTTGTATTTCACGTTTTATAGAAAAACATTATATTGCAGTTAATTATAATTGTTATTATATTATTTACTTTATTAATAACTTGGAAAAAAACATGGCATAATTTCAATGAAGAAAATAATACACTAGAGGCATGCAAAATTGTAAAAGATATACAGCAATATATAAAACAATATAATCAAAAACTTGAAAAAATTATTGTTAGTAATTCAGATATAGTTTTATCATCTGCAGAAATGACTATTAAGAGAATAGAATTGAATATAAGGAAACAAAAAATACAAAACACGTGTAAAAATTATACCAATGAAGAGTTACAGCTAAATAAAAACTTTCCTAATATGATTATTGATACGTAAGTATTAATACATAGCATGTTATTAATATATTTTAATGTTTGATATGAATAAACTTATTATTCAATATTTTACATATGATCGTCAGAAAACATGGTATATCATGGTGTCCTATATATAAGGTGGGGAGTTCAACTTGGATGAAGAATTTTGCAATACTTGCAGGTATCTTAACAGATACAACCATGAATTTAATTAACCAAAATACAATTCAAATGAATAATATTGTTAAACAAGCATTTCCTTGTGATTTAAATATAAATAAAACACTTAAGGTAATATGAATTTTGTTAAGTAATCTGTTGATAATATTTTACTGAATTACACAATTGAGAAACTTTTATATTACAGAAATTACAAAGTACGAAAAAATTCTTAATTGTGCGACATCCTTTTGAGCGACTCTTGTCTGCATATAGAGATAAGTTAGAACAAAGAAATGGAAGAGAATATTATTATAAACGATTTGGACGGCATATTACACATAAATACCGTAGGCACAAAAATTCAACTAGAGCAAAACTAGAACCTACATTTGAAGAATTTTTAGAGTTTATTGCAAATGAAAAGTATTTTGATGAACATTGGGCTCCATATTATGATACTTGCAAACCATGCACGATTCATTATGATTACATACTCAAATTTGAAACATTTCAAGAAGATCATCGATTTTTCATGCAAGAGACTGGATTAAAATACTATTTATACAAAAAAAGTGATTTCACAAATATTAATCCATATGGTCGTACCACTAGTAGATTATTGAAAAAATATTTAGAAAATATACCAAAATTACTCCTTTGGAAAATATATAAAATTTATGAAAAAGATTTTAAATTATTTTCTTATTCTATAGATTTATTTTAAGAATATAAGTTCATATTTGTTAAAAATAAATTATACTGAAAAAACTTACTTGTCCAAATAGGTGCATCATGTAATACAATAATAATGTATAACTGCAATACAAGTTGTGGTGCTGCTCCCATAAAAGATTCAAATAATTGTAACATACAAATATCACTTTCTTTTCTATATACTGACTTCTTATCCTTTACAAACTGTTTATTTTTCAACGAATACACAGCGGTATATAATAGAATCAAATACCTATAAAAACAATAGAGTCATTACTAATATAAATAGAAAAATATATGTAATTAAAAAATACTTTGAATAATACAGAATTTAATATATTAACAAATAAAATAAAATTTGTACTAACTAAAATTAAATACGCTTTAAAAATTAAAAATATAAATATAATAAACAGTAGTGAAAAGTATAAAAAATATATAATTTAAATTATAATATAATTCATAATATAAGTATAAACTATATTCACCTATGGAATACTCCCAAGAAAAAAATATGTGATATCCAATGAATTAATTTTACAGAACCATCACTTTGTTGCCATCTTAAACTGAATAATTGAATGATACCAGCTGGTATAATTGTAAAACTAATTGATAAACATCCCCATAACGTATATCCTTGTAAAAGATATTGCACAAATGCGAAGCTATCTGCATATAATATAATATTGTCAAATATATAGCTTATTGAATATTACAATTACTGACAAGATATATTTATTTTAAGATAATGATTTAATTATTAATATTAAATATTTTTCATTATAATACCATTGATGGAATAAATTATCTAAATTTAAAAGTTTCTTTTGTTCATCACATTAAGCATTCAATTAAAATGTTAACTATCAGAATAAAATTTCCATAAAATTTGTCTATAATTCTGGGATTAAAAAATTTGTTTAATATAATATAATAAATAAATAGATAAATACAAATAATTAATCAAACATAAGAAACATCATTATAACGCTTTCGTTATTCACCTGTTAGAGTATCCGTAAAAAGAAAAAAAATAGAACATATATAATATAACAGATCTTTTATCTTAAACTGATAGCATTCGATTTCTCTATGCGAAATTGTTTGTGATATATTATTTTTTGCAATTTCAGCAAATGAAACATGTTTCTGTTTTAACTCTGCCGCTGCCATTTTCGCGGCCATTCACAATTCATGTTTCTACCAACGAGAACTGAATAAAGATTGATCAGTTTGAGATATCTAACTAAATAAAAAAATCTGATATATAAATCACTCTGATTTGATTTTTATTTTATTTTATATTTTGTTTTATTATGCTTAAATCTTATAACGTTCATAAAAAAGCTATAAAAAATGTAATCTTTTTTTATAGTACAGTCTCAAAAATAAAACATTGTTAAAAGTTTTGTTTTATTTATAGATACATGAAAAAAATCTTATAACTAAAAATATTTAATTTAAATAATTTAATTAGAATATATATAATATTTATAGTTTAGATAGTTATAAAAAACTTCTTTCTCTAAAAATATAAAAAATGTTGGTAGAAATGAAGGTGTTAATCAGAAATGTATATTATAATATTTATAAAGGACTTATATATTAGCAATTCAAACTTATTTGTCATAGTATATTTGAGAAATAAATATTGTTTATTTTTAATTTAAAAAAATATATAAATTTTAATATATTATTTCTCCGAACTAATTCATACAGTTGCTTAAATATTGACCAATCAGCGTAAATCATTATGGCGCATGCGCAATAATAGTATTCAAATCAACATTATACTTTTCCATCTATTTAATAGTAATGAACTTTGACTATAAGTATTGGCATCTGTGTAATTATTAACGAAAGATTTGTTATCGTTTCATTCTAGAATGTAATCATGATCTGTTTAATATCATTTTGAGTATAATTATAATATTATTGAAAAACTATATAAACGTTTTTTATATATCAATATCTTTTAATAATATATATTACTCTACTTTGTGTTCTCAAATGTCCAGAATGGAGGAAACGGAGAGTAATTTGCTAGAAAAAAATAAATTAAAAACTGATACAGGACAAGATGCATCATATGTAAGTTTTCTTGAACATAAATAATAGTTGATTAATAAACGTTCTATTAACCTCAATATTACATATTACATGTATAGTATTCAAGCAATCCATCAGATTTGTCTATTGGAAGCAGCAGAAATAGCCATAACATTTCTAATAATGAGAAAACAGATAATACTATGTTAGTTGCTGAACATTACAATACACTTGAAGAAACGCTTCTTTCTCAAAGGAATCAAAGTCGCATTGTTTACATGAGAAACTTCAATAATTGGATCAAAAGTATGCTTATAGGCAAGTATTTGTTCTTTGAATTTTTTAATATGATTATAATTTATATAAATGTAATTTCTTTTCTATTAATGTATATATATTTATTTTTATTTTTCACAGATGAATATATAAATAAAATAAAACAGAACAAAAATCGTAACAGCCCCTTGAAGGTACTTGATATGTGTTGTGGTAAAGGTGGAGATCTTCTAAAATGGAAAAAAAAAGAGATTAGTCACTTAATCTGTGTCGATATAGCTGAAATATCTATTGAACAATGTAAAAATCGATATAGTGATATTTTAAACAAAAGTTCCAAAGTAAGAGGATTTGCACCTATTTTTACTGCTGAATTTATTGCCGTCGACTGTACAAAGGTATTTAGTTATTACAATTTTGGAAACTGCTCGTACTTCGTTTAAAAAAAAGTATTTATGATATAATAAAATTTTAATGTTTCCAACATTTGATGTTCTATATTGTAATTTTGTCAATGGGATTGGTTATAAAAGCGAGTTTTAGGTACGCCTAAGAGAAAAATACAAGGATGTTACTATACAATTCGATCTTGTGAGCTGTCAATTTGCATTTCATTATAGCTTTGAGTCACTATCGCAAGCAGAATGTATGCTCCGAAATGCAAGTGAATGTTTAAGGCCAGGAGGTTATTTTATCGGAACTATGCCAGATGCTTATGACTTAGCGTATGTACATATATAGCATTGTTTAATTGCTAATTCTAAATAAATAAATATATTTTGTCCATAAATTATAATCACAGTGTTTAACCCTTTTGCTGCGGAGTGCTCAAAAACAAATTGCCTTCTGAACAGCTGGCATGACAGTCAGAGATCTGCAGCATAGACAGTATGATGCGCGAGTCGTTCTTTGTGAATTAAGTCACTATTTGCTCAGAGGCAGTGATTATGGCTAAACGCCTGAAGGCACTGTTCGTAGTCAAAGGGTTAAAATAGTGTATTCACAAATTAATTTGTAAAATTGTATTTTAAGTTCTAGATGGCAAAAGTGTGATGGTAACAAGTTTGGAAATGATATTTATAGCGTAGAATTTTTATGTAAAGATAAGACAAATCCACCCCTTTTTGGTGCTAAATATAATTTTCATCTTGAAGGTGTAGTTAATTGCCCAGAATTTTTGGTTCATCTCCCTACGCTGTGCAAATTAGCTTCTAAATTTGGTCTCGAATTAGTAATGTTTGAAAGGTAATAAATTATTACAAACACAAAACTAATCATAAAATTATTTGTTTAATTTAAATATATATTCTTATATATACAGATTTGAAACTTATTATGAACGCATGCAAAACGAAGGCAAATCCTTGCTGTGTAAAATGCAAGCTATGGAAACTTATCCTCCGTATCATGAAAGTCCACTATTAGGTAAACCTTGGCAGGATTATCAACATGCTATAAGTCATATGCAAAATCAACCAGGCCACCGTAAAATCGGCACATTGTCTCAATCAGAATGGGAAGTCACATGTAAGTTAAAGAAATATATATATATATA